AAACAAAAATAATGGTGCTCGTTTTTCAAAGTGACATCAGCAAGGACAAAGAAGAACTCTCACCTGGAGCCTCTGCCAGTGACAAATCATGCACCAGATGGACCTGGCATGTTCCTGAGACTTCACTTAAGAGAGCTCTGTTTATATTATATACTAAGAATCTTCCTGGAATTAATCCGGGATCTCTTGTGAAATGATGAAGTACAAGGTACTTCCAACTCTCCAATAAGTGACGTGATGTAGTGGCCCAAGCATTGGCCTCAGACAAGTTTGAATCATAGCCTAACCACCAACCTATAAGACCTTGAAAAATTTATTCTAGCCTCTTTGAAACTCATTTCTCATAACCTGTAAAATAAGGAGTTTGGACCAGCATAGTGTTTCCCAAAATGTGTTTCTTAGAGTCCTAATTTTACAAGACATTTCATAGATTAAAAAAAAAAAAAAAGGAAAAATACCCTGTGATCAAATCAGTTTGGAACATGCAGCATACTGGATCATCCTTTTGGAGAATCACAAGATGCACTGATATACAGAGTTCTGAAAAGTCCTGCATTAAAAGAGCTTGTTTTACTTTATTTAACCAAGCATTTCCAAACCATTATTGACCATGAAACTCTTTTAACCTGTAACTCCTATTAAAACTTGGAGAATGGTTCCATGGAACCCATTTTAGGAAATACCAGGCTATGTTCATTTATACATTCATTCACTAACACGTGTTCTCTTCATCTCCCCAAGTTCCAGAATTCTTTCATTCCACCTCAGTTTGCTTGTTTGAGTGAGAAACCTGCCAAGCGATTTTCAAGAAAGCCAATGGAGTCAGAACCAGATATGAGACACGACAGACTTTCTGCCAAATTTGGCTGAAGGACAGCCCCAGGTCTCGTCAGTAAGATATTGGTGTTAAAAATATTGGTAAATGAGTTCTCCAGGAATGACAACAAAAAAAAAACTTAATGGAAATGCTGAAAAATATTTTCATCATCATGCCAAGGGTTCCTATTATGCTCTGTATGCTACTCCCACCACTTAGCTACTGCCAGGTTGACTAGGGTAAACCATTTCTCCTTAATAGCCCCCAAAATATAAAGGATGTTCCCTTTTTCCCAGAAGTAGACAGCCCTGAACAATTTTCTATTGTTATTTTGAGAACTGAAATTTATCTTGCTCTACTTCAGATAAAATGTCTGTCCCTAATCCAAGAATAGCAACTAGGTTTCTGATCTATTCTCTCCCCTTGCTGAGACTGCTGGGCAGAGAAGGATTCTAAGGCCATGTCTGGAGTCAGGAGAAAAGAATTCTGTGACTGATTAATGATGCCTGCAAGGGAGAGAGCAAAGACCTGTGCCATGGACTTGCTAGCCCGGCTCTAAACTCAGGTGAGGCAGAATCCACTACTGTGAAAACAACAAGACTATTATAATAATCACCACAGGGGAAATGTAAACAAGCGCTCTTTTTTAAAAATATATATTTATTTACAGCACCAGCACCAGAGAAGAAAAAATATGGAAAATGAGTCCATTTTATTACACCCTCAGATCCTGATATTGATTCTAGTGAGATTCAAGTTAATAAACCTCTGAGATGGAAGATTGAGTTGTAGTTGCTACAATCCCCATTTTACTTTGTTATAGACAATATGTGCCCACCAAAAGTAACTTTATTCTTCTTCTGACGTTTTCTAATTCAGAAATGGGTGATTCCAGCCATGAAATGTGCTTGCCAAACCCGAGTGTTGGTTGTGCATGAAGAAGGGTCCGTGCTTGGCCCCTCTAGGTCTCCACACAGCCCCGGTGGCCCTGCGATCAAATTCATATGAACATGTTAGTGACAGCTGCTTCCTATTTCTCAGTTACTACTACCTTATAGTGAAGGGGCAGAAATAATTGAGCTGCTCTGGACTCCACTCTGTTTTAAGGGCTGCGGAGCACCTCCAGGTAAGCACAATCTAGAGTTACTGACCTCAGACCCCAACCACTCAGAGGCTCCCAAATGAGTAGGGACTCCATCCATGAGTTAGGCAAGGAATTTCAAGAGACCTGGGTTCTAGGTGAGCACTGTCCAACAGTACTTTCTGTGACAATGGAAATGTTCTATAATCTGCCTGTTCAATAAGGTAGCCTTATGTGTCAATTGAGCACTCATAATGTGGCTGTTGCCACTGAGGAAGTGGAATGTCTAATTTTTTCATTTTAATTAAAATAAATTTAAATAGTCACTATGGGACTTTGGTCAAGTACCTTCTCCAGCCCTCAGTTTCACTTCCTACAGCCCTCCCAAATCCATCCACTTCTTTCCATCCCTCTACTAGCACTCTAATCCCCTTAATTTTTGGAAGAATCTTCATACTGTTTTCCACTGTGGCGGCACAAGTTTATATTCCCACTAGCAGTGCACAAGGGTTTTCTTTTCTCCACATCCTCACCAGCACTTATTTCTTGTCTTATATGTAATTTTTTTTTGCTTGAATTTTCACAGAATACCCCTGACATCTCTGGAAGGATCCACAAGAAAGTAGTAATATTGGATGTCTCCAGGCAGAGAAACTGGGTGGCCAGGGGATGTGTTTGTGAGGGAGATTGAGTGCTAAATACACTTTTACACCTTTTTAGTTTTGAATCGTGTGAAAGCATTAAATTTAAAAAAATAAGTCTTGTTAAAGACAGATATAGGACTCAACAAAAAAAGTAGCATAAAAATCTTCTTCTAAGCTTGCTCTTCTCACACCCTCTAACCCTCACATGCTTGCCTGAGTTAGCTGAGGAGAGGCTTCCTTCCAGCCAGGAGAAGGCATACTTGGGTTGAGAGAAGGGTGTCAGGAGAAGGGTTATCACTAGGGAATGAGTAGTTGCATGGCTTCCAGGGAGGGACAGCCCAGGAATGAAGACAGACCTACACCAAGGCTCCTCACCTATAATTTCAGACACGAGAGACAAAGAACCAGGAAGCTTCTGGAGAGAGAAAAAGGCAAATACAAATCAATCCAAAGGTCTGAGAATGAGAGGAACACTGGATTTCAGCAGCAGTAACAGGCAAAAGACAATGAACAGAGCAGTCAGAATTCTGAGCCAAAATATCAATCAAAAGCAAAGACAGAATAGAAACCTTTTCAGACTTACAGGGACCCAGGAAATTATCTTCCAGTTGTTCTTTCCTGGAAAGTCGTTAGAGAATGTGCTTCAGCAAAATGAAGGAATAAAGAAAGAGAATCAGGCTTGGGATCCAGGCAAGAGCAGAGGCTCACAGGAGCCTTGGGAGCCAGATGAGTCTGGGTGGCACTGCAGAAACAAGAAGGATGGTGTTGCCATAGGGCTCCACATGGCTTTGAAAACATAAAATGGCTAAGCCGGGCAACAGACCACCTGTGACACCTGGCTGCCAGGAGCTTCTCTGATTACACTTTAGAGAATACGACCTTCATCCCACCCAGGGGAGTTCAAGACAATGAGTTGTGGAAATAGACTGTGTTTGTGTTGTTTCCTCTAATTTTAGAATTTAAAAGCCTCCGAGCCATTGGCTGGTAGGGATGAGGAAATGACCCCACAGACTGAACTGCCCCACCCTGGGTCCCTGGTTCATTTCTGTCCAATGACAAATCATAGTTCAGGTGCCCTTTGGAAAGCTTTCTCTAACCTTGCCCCCACCCCCTTGCCAGCTGGATCAAGCACCATCCACTAGGACTCCACCATCACTGCAGGAGAGGCCATGTCCATTAGTGCTGTGCTCCTGCACCCAGCATGGGGCCTGGTACACAGAGTGGGTTCAGTAAATTATCCCCCAGTCTTCTCTGGAACTGAGTCACCTGAGGGAGGAGGCATGGAGCACAGCTCCCTGCCCCAAGAATGTTCCCTTTTGGGTCAGGGGAACTCCCAATGGAGCAGAGGAAGTAAGGCCTAGTGAGCACGGGCTGGGCTTGGGAGCAGAGACAAAGGTAGGGACTCCTCCTGTAGCCCTCCCTGAGGGCCCCCGGCTGTGGGTCTCAGGGGCTTTGAGTTGGCTAGCTTCCTTCCTGGAGGAAGAAAGGGGAAGAGAAATTCCCTGGGGAAGTGGGTTTTGAGTCAGCTGCACTGTCATAATGGAAACAGCATAGCACTGGGCATCAAGACACTTCCCCTGTGTGGGCTTCAGAGTCCTTGTTATGAGATAGAAATAACAGTCCTGTGCAGGGAGTTGGGCTTAAGTGATAGAAGGTGACCAAGCACTCTGTTAACATGCAGATGTAACGGGGGACACTGCCAGGGGTTCAGAGACTGCAATATCTTGCCTCCAACCCAAATGAAAGTCTTTCACTTCTTTTAATCCCAGGTCTGAACTCTGACTATTTGGAGCCTTTTGGAAACCATGGATTCCTATTGTCCACCAGTCATTCACACTCTGAGGATCCTGCTCTCTGTCCAGAGAGGACATCCTAATTGGAGTGGCAGCCATTTGGGAAACTGGCCCAAGGGTGGCAGCGGTCTCAAAATGAGTAAAGCCAGTGTGACACCAAGCCCCATCTGGGGCGGGTGATGAATAGAGGACACTTGAGGAAACAGTGTGCTCTTAAGACTCTTACTCAACGTGTCAGTCAATCTGACACCTCTAAGGACATCCTGTTCCCATCTTACCCTTGCGTAAGGTTGGGGCCCAGCAGGAGGCAGCCCGAGGCTCTGCCATGGGCACTGACCCATCTTGGAGGCCCCGGGTATGCTTTGAACCCCCTCAGCCTCTTTGGGTAGGAAGAAGGGACTTTTCACTCTCGAAGGTTAATGCCCCACACGTGTGGGTGAACAGTTAGCCTGCTCAAGTTACTGTATGACACAGGGCAAGCGACTTCCCATACTGGGGCTCAATTTTCTGGCACTTTAAGTGGAGTAGTAACAGCGTTTGCTTCTTACGGTTGTTATGAGGCTTGACAAGCCAGCACTACTGGGCCCAGGCCGCGCGCACGGACTCCCGGGCGAGGCGGGGGTTTGGGGGTGTCACCACTCCGCGCAGCCCCGCCTCCTGGCCGCTTCCTCCATCCAGGAGAGGGCGGCCGGGTGGTGTCTCGCCGAGCCTCCCCTCCTGGCGCCCCGAGGGCAGCCCCCTGCGGCCGCACGATGTCAGCCGGCTGGTTGCGGCGCCGCTTCCTGCCGAAAGGTCCGCTGCCCGCGCCGCGGCCACCGAGGCCACACACCAGCCCTGTACCCTACCGGCGGCCCCGCTTCCTGCGCGGCTCGGGCTCCTGCCCCGGCACAGCCGACGCGCCGAGCCTCCCGGAAGCCCGGCCCGTGCGCTGCCCGGCGCGGAGTCGCACGCTGCCCTGGAACGCAGGCTACGCAGAGTGAGTGTCCCCCCAGCCCCGAGCAACCCCCATACGACACTCTCCACTCCAGCGACCCTTGCCCCGGGACCCCCGACCCCGACCCCTGCTGATCCAGCCTGAGGGCCTGTGCCGAGCTAGAAAACAAGCTAAACTGAGTGAGCGATACCCACTCCCCCAACCTTGTGGATAATTCCCTCTTGTCCTCATTTCTGGACTCTGGACAACCTCCCCCCATCCCACCTCGGCCTTTTCTTTGGGACTCCAACCTCTCTCAGTGAGGGTTGCAAGTCGAGAAGGACCTGCACCCCTGGGGCTTCCAACATGAGACAGGGAAACGGGGTAAAATGCCAACTTTCTGGGCTTTCGAGATTACCACCCCACCCACCTCATCCCCTCCCTGCCAGCCCGGTACACACCTCACCCTGTTACGGAATATGCAGTGTGAGGCAGGAATTCTGGCTGAGATGGGGCAGGGGATAGGCAAGGGAGCCCCAGATCTTCCCAGGCAGCCCCATCCTTACCTCCCAGCCCTGGTCAGCAGGTAGGCTCCAGGGGGGTCTGGGCCCTGAGTTTTGCCTTGGTCAGGAGGTCTTTGAACAGTTAGGAAAATTACACCATCTTTATCGAGGTATAAGGGACGGCGTAGGGACTTTTGCCCCAGAGGGAAGGTTCCTCCCTCTCTGCACCAGCTCTGGTCTCTGTGCCCACGGGGACACGGTTGTGTCCCTGAAGGGTCACTGACCACCTCCTGGCCTCAGGATCATCAATGCAGAGAAATCTGAGTTCAATGAGGATCAAGCTGCCTGTGGGAAGCTATGCATCCAGAGATGTGAGTTTGGGGCTGAAGAGGACCAGGAGTGGTTGACCTTGTGCGCAGAGGAGGTGAGCACAACTGGGTCCGACCCCCTCTTACAGATTGGGGTCCAGGACTTCAGGCGGAAGTTCTTGTCCTAGTGCCCCATGCTAGGCCAGGGGTCAACTAGGGAAACCAGGAAGAAGAGCCTGAGACCAAGCCTTTCTTGTACAGTTCCTGACGGGTCATTACTGGGCACTGTTTGATGGGCACGGCGGTCCAGCTGCAGCTATCCTAGCTGCCAACACCCTGCACTCCTGTCTGCGCCGGCAGCTGGCGGCCATAGTAGAAGGCATGGTAGCTACTCAGCCCCCCATGCACCTCAGCGGCCGCTGCATCTGCCCCAGCGACCCCCAATTTGTGGAGGAAAAGGGCATTAAGACAGAAGACTTGGTGATTGGGGCCCTGGAAAATGCCTTCCAGGAATGTGTAAGTATGGCCTTTAACTAGGAAAGAAGGGAAGATTTTGTCCCCAGGCATCTCTGCACAGAATGGTGGTCACCCTGGATCTTTGAATTGGGAGGACAAGATTGGATTGGTTTATTCTTTACTAATGGTCATCATTGTCATCATAATCCCTCCCATTTTTCCAGTGCCTACTCCTACTATGTTCTAGGTGCTTTTATCTGCATCATCGCATTGCATATCCAGTTGGTTCTTGGTGCAGGGCCTGGTTTCCTTTCTTGTTTTGAATAGGACTTCCCTCCCTCCCCACGCGATACATCCAGATCTCCTAACTACAGGGATTCTAGAGTCATAGCTAGAAACTGGACTGGGACTGCCAGGCTTGCTGGTGAGGAATGAACTGCAGGGTGGGGATCAGGAACAGCCCCTCAAGTGGCCTTGGTTTGCCCCAGGATGAGGTGATCGGTCGGGAGCTGGAGGCAGCAGGCCAAGTGGGTGGATGCACAGCCCTGGTGGCTGTGTCCCTGCAGGGAAAGCTGTATGTGGCCAATGCAGGGGATAGCAGGTAAGTGAGCCCTGGAGGGTGGGCAGGGTGGGTGGCGCAGGACAGGCACCAGAAGCAGTGGAGACAGTGAAAGGGGGCAGGAAGTGGAGGGATGGAGATTAACTGGCTGAGCTGTTTGTATACCTGGCATGTGTGGAGTAGGAGGGTGGACAGCAGATGCCAGGGAGAGTGGGGACCTCAAATGCCAGGCTGAAGCGCTGAGTCTTTACCCTACAGGCTGTAGACATTCATGAAAGGCTTTGAACAAGGAAGGGATTGGCATGGGCAGAATTGGCCCCTGGTGGTTGAAGGAGGGGCCAGCAGGAAGGAGCCCATGAGGTCGGAGGCAGGGCTACAGACCTCTCCCTTTCCTCCTCAATCCCATCAGGGCCATCTTGGTACGGAGAGATGAGGTACGGCCCTTGAGCTCTGAGTTCACCCCGGAGACTGAGCGGCAGAGGATCCAGCAGCTGGTAGGTGCCCTTGACAGAGAAGGCTGTGGAGCCCCAATTCCTGGGTCCAGGGCCATCAGAGGGAGCCTGATATGAACATGACCTCCCTACCCCAGGCTTTTGTCTACCCTGAGCTCCTTGCTGGTGAGTTCACCCGACTGGAGTTCCCTCGGCGACTGAAGGGGGATGACTTGGGGCAGAAGGTTTTGTTCAGGGATTACCACATGAACGGCTGGTGAGCAAGGTGGGGGTGGGGAGACACAGTGGGGAGAACCCTGGGGTCCAGGCCCAGCTGTGTGGCCTGGGGCAGTCTCCTTCAACTGGGCAGGGTCAGGGGTGAGGTAGGGAATAGGGCCTGGGTTGATGCTGGATCTTCTCCTGGTAGGAGCTACAAGTGTGTTGAGAAGTCAGATCTCAAGTACCCACTGATCCACGGACAGGGTAGGCAGGTCAGTGAATGGCCCCCTTCAAGAATCTTTCTTCAGTTGCCCATGCAGAGGTAGGAGTGACTTTGTCCCTTGGTGGCTGTGGCTGAAGTTCTGGGGTCTGTTCCAAAGCCACAGTATGTTTCTCCCTCAGCCCAGGGTTCCCAAGGGCCACAGTCCACCTCTGCTTTACTTGTGCATTTACTGGGGCCGTTTGCTCTCACCTCACACCTCCCTTGTCCCCAGGCTCGGTTACTGGGAACACTGGCCGTCTCTCGAGGCCTGGGAGACCATCAGCTCAGAGTCCTGGACACAAACATTCAGCTCAAGCCCTTCTTGCTCTCTGTCCCACAGGTGAGGGGGCAACAGCCCATCCCAGCTTCCAACTGCCCCAAAAGGCATACAGTGAGGCTGGTGGGAGCTGGGAAAGGAATGCTGAGGGATCCTCAGGCTTAACTTGCAGGTCACAGTGCTGGATATGGACCAGCTGGAGCTACAAGAGGAGGATGTGGTTGTCATGGCAACTGATGGTCTCTGGGACGTCCTTTCCAATGAGCAGGTGGCACAGATGGTGCGGAGCTTCCTTCTTGGTACTCAAGAGGACCCACACAGGTACTATAACTGCTGGGTACCTGCCTGGGCCTGTGCTGTTGCCAGCAGCAACACCAAGCAGTTATGGCTAAGAAGATAGTACTGACGATGAGCCTGGCTCAGGGCAGGTGGTCAGGATTGGTGCTGTCTCAAATACTAGGGAGTGGGGATGAGTGGGTCCCAAAAATCTCTGGGTCCAGGCTCCTGTGGTGCAACCTGTGGCCCTCCTAGGCCTGTTGCTTACCTGGCCCCGTTGCTTACCTGGCCCCAAAGTTGGAATGCATTGCTTGGGTCCCCAAGTGTCTAGCCCAGTGCAGCATGTTCTCCTTGAGGGCTGGCCTTGCCTCTTTGCTCTGGCCCCAGAGTACATCTGCAGGATGGTCCCCACAGGTTCTCGGAGCTGGCCCAAATGCTGATACACAGCACACAGGGGAAGAACGGTGATCCCACAGAGGAAGGGCAGGTGTCCTACGACGATATCTCTGTGTTCGTGATTCCTTTGTACAGCCAGGGCCAAGGAAGCAATGGCCATTGAGGATTCAGATACCACATCCCAGAACCACTCGGGGTCAGATACAGTCGGGGAATCCCCCCACCATGATCAACAGCAGGCCTGCCTGCCTTGCTCCCAGACACAGCCCAGGGCTCTCACCCCCACCCCAACCCATTTCAAGGGGAACATTTATACCAGGCAGTCAGAGCTGAAGAGCGTAAGAACCCTGTTCCCCAGGTCCCCTCTTTGGCAGGCAGGGGAAAAGTGCTAATATCAATAATGACAACCCTCTGGCAGAGGCACTGTACACCTTAGGATACCCACACAAGGTTTCTTCACAGCCCAATATATTATTCCCAGATAAGGACAGCTGGACTAAAGGAATTGGCCAAAGATGCAAGAGGGGCAGATAGCCTGTGTTGGATCCAAGTCTCCAAACCATGAATGTCAGGGTATCCACTCAACAACCCCCAAAGCCCATGCAGGATGCCTTATGAAAAGCTGGGGGCAGCCTCATATCTGTTGAACAGTCATCCTGAAGCAGCCCCTGGGGAGAGACCTGCTCAGGCCCTACCCTACTCTCCTCTACCACTGGAGGGAAGGCACAGGCACTGGGGCTAAAGTTGGGGGAGAACAAAAGGGGGCAAGAGGAGCCCCAGTTGGCTGAGCGGGAAATGCTCTTGTATTGCTGCTCCTGCCTCTGGCCTAGCCTCAATTGTTCCTTCCAAGCTCCAGCCCCACCCCAGGCTGATGCCTCATTAATGCCTTCATTTTGTTGTTCCCCATTACCTCCCAATGATTAAATGTTTGTGTGCAGAAGAATCCTTGTGAATCATGAATTGCTGTACAGCTTGGCATTACAGTATACCTTTTGCTCTTTTACCTTCCAAAGAATCAGTCTTAGCTTCACCTTGCAAGCCTGCATAGTCAAGACTGTTTTTTTTTTCTGTGGCCTCTTTAGTTCCAAGCCTGGGGTGAGCCCCGCCCCAGTGTGAGAATTTTTGTCCAGGAAACATAAAGGTCTCTACCATCATCTGTGAGCTCTGGGCTGGAGATACTAGACTGGCTGCCATTTAACTTGTTTTTGAATGCAAATTTCTATAAAGCTAGACTTAGCTAAAGTCAGTTGGGGCTCCAGGGCTTGTTTTGATAAACAGCTTATTAGTTCCTCAACTTCCTACAAGACTATTTTTATCATCTTCTGGCATTTGCCAATGTTAAGATGCTGGGTAAGTATTTGTTCAATTACAAGCAGCCACCTTCATGATTTCAGCCTTACCCAACTCTTCCCTGATCCTCCCCGATCCTCTCCTACTTAACATCTGAGATGAGTTCTTACTAGGCAACTCACAGCCCTAGACAGCAGCCAGGAAGGACAAGAGCCAACAGGCCTCAGAATCGATGGTAAAACTCATGTAGTAACCCATTAAGGAGGTTCTTAGACCCTCTTTCCTGCCCATCAATTCATTTTAGACTTCATTTCTTATACATTCTTCAGGGAAGAGATAGAAAAAACTACAAAATTTCTCACTTTTTAGTCATACTCCACAGCCCAGCACTTCTGGGCCTACATCTTGTCCAGAGCTGGGTCCTGACAAACTAGATGGCCTCAGAAGCCCTGGGCAACCTCTCCAGGACTCTAGTTAGGCAGCTGGCAAATGCAGGAGTATGCCCTACCAGCCTGCAGGAGTTTTACTTCCTCTTTCCTCAGCAGTTCCCCCACCCTCCGCCACTCTGTGGGCAGCGGCCTGTGCCTGCCTCTCACCCACATAAACAGCTAAAGCAGCTCACCCTCACAGCCTGCTTGCTTTGCTTCTGACCCAGCCCACTGCCTGTTCTTGTGCTCCTCACACCAAAGGCTGAAGCCTGGGGAGCAGGTACAGTGGGTTTCTCAACAGCAAGCAAGACAAACTGTTAGGAATAACTGCTGCAGGGGCAGCTACGATGACCTATGTGTTTATGTCTCTCAGCAGAGCCAAACACTTGCAGCAGCCCTCGGACCAGGATGTGAGGAGGTCTCTTCCTCCTTGAACAATGTATTATCCTATATTCATGACCTACCACTCACAAACTAGGATGTTCCCTCTGCTGCCCCAGAGTCCTTGGCCAACCTCCAGTGACTATAGGCAAAGTGACAGGCCCAAGTCTGTCTTCTCCGGTTCAGAGAGCCAGGAAAGAGGAAGCAGCAGGTCCTGCAGGTCTGAGGGCTAGGAAGAGAAAAGGCACAAAGAGTTACCAATGCACCAGCCAGGCGATGGGTTACTACCAAGCAAATGGCCGGGCCATCTGCCATAACTGGTGTAGGAGCCTCAAAGAGACCCCACTAGCCTTGCCCCGCAGAAGCCAAGGCCTTGTAGGACAAACCTTATTCCAGCTAGAGGTTGCCAATCTGATCAAGGGCTGAGGTAATAGCGGAAAAAGGAAGCCTAAGGAACATGCCAGATGCAGTCTTTGAAGATCAAGGTTGGCTCAAGCTGGCCTCTCCCAATTACTCATTTCTGGCCATATGGTTGCTTATTAGAGCCTAAGGTTGAGGAGACCCAGGTAACTGTTCACTGAAGTCTGGGTATAGGGGTTCCTCCCACCAGCCCACAGGCCTTAGTCACCAGGGAATCAAGGGCAGTCCCAAGGAGCCCAACAATCCATCCATACACGGCATTACAGCGAGTCCCAGTGTGAGCCAGGAGACAACCCATTCCTTCCCTCCAACTCTAGGCACCAGTCAATGCTACAGAAACTAAATGGAAGAGGCTGCAGCCATAAAATTCTGTTTAAGACAGATAACATGGAAAAAATGTTTATATGTTAAGTACAAAAGGGACATAAAATTGTATATACAGTAGAATGACAACTATGTAAACACACCAAAAATCTACACACAGAAATATCTAGAGGAACATTTAACACCAAAAGATTAACAGTGGTAGCATTTGAAAGTCAAACTGATTCTTTTTTAAATTCCCAATTTTTCCTTAATAAGCATTAATTACAATTTCAATGGGAAAGTTTTTTCTAAAATAAAACCCCAATGGCTGGTCATTTGAGCAATATGGTATTGTCGGTATTGTCCCATAGAAAAAGGTGGCTTTAACCTCTTGAGAGTATGGTGGGCAGCCCCCTCCCCCCTGAGAACTCAAGCACCTCTGGCTCCCACTGAGAGCATCCTTATAGCCCCAGCCCTCAGCCTCTGGCCTACAGCCTCACTTCTTCCTTTATTCTGCCTAGTCACACCACCACATCAACTCCAGTCACTTCTAGCTACATCTTTTCCCTTTCCTTCCTCAAGAGCCAGCTCTGCAGCCACAGGTCCCCATAAATAAGAGGCCATGCAGTGCATATTTTCAAAGGGCATGGTACTTCCTTTGGACGCACAGGA